TTACTCTTTATAAAGAGGTTAAAGTTTTCATTATGATATGGGTATTTTTTCCATTGGCACATAAGTTTCCATTGGTACACTGGCTTTCCCTTCTTTCATCTTACGACTCAATTACTCAATTAAAAACCAAATGTTTGTCTTGAGGGATGCAATCAGGGCAGTTGAACTCTCAGACTGGTTTCTGTACTGGTCTGCAGAGCACTGGAGAAAGCTGCCTCTGAAGGACCAGCAAGTGCCAGCACCAGGGGAGGAACCTGGCCCCTTAGGGGCAGCTTCATCCCCACGGGATGATTTGCTAGAATAAGGGACAAGGCTTTGTTCAGCAGATAGAGGAAGCTGGGAGAGGAGGACGTGTGGAACCCAAGCTGCCTGATTTCCCACGAGGGGCAGGGCTGCAGAATGGGATGTTTGCAAACAGCTGAGGACTGGTGGGAAGCCAGTTTGTACCCAAGCACAAGCAGAGAACCTCTGCTCGTCCTGCCCATCTCCCCGCGGATACGGGACACGGCAGCACCCAGCGACACCAGGAGCTCCTTTCCCCTTCTCCGCTCTGTGGGAAGGGCAGCACCAGCCAGGCAGGTTTGTCAACTCCCAAGGGATTCATTTGGCAGTCCTTGGAAACGGGGACAATGTGAAAAGGAGCGGAAGGGGTTTGCAGATACAGAGCATCCCCCACTTCATCGCTCACGGGTACACCAGTGTGGTCAGAACTCAGTGCACTCAGAAACCCTGGAACCCCAGCTGTGACCCAGGGCTGCTCCTCTGTCACTCACAGCCTGGCCCAGCTCCCCTGAGAGCACAGCTCTGCACTGCTGCGTTGGCCCAAGCATCACACAGAGCCCTCCCTGCAGCAGGGACACCGATGTGGCCGTGTCCCAGTCAGTACACAACCGTACCAAAAAGAGCCACTCCAACTTTAGGTACATCTGGAAACACAGTTAAAAACAATTCTGAAGTCATTCTCTTGCAAACAATCTCCCAACAGGAGCTGTTGGAAGGAAACCTCATCTACTGCAAAGCAGGATTTGAAAGGCTGACTTCAGGAATGAGTAAAAGAGAGGTTTCTGGGGAATGGGTTTAGTGGTGAACACAGGGCTGCTGAACTCAATCTTAGAAGCCTTTTCCAGCCTTAATGATTCTATGATAGACTTCAAGATCATTGAATTTGTTTTTCAGGATTTTCTGTTATTCCATATAAAATGCACATAGGCATGTTTTTAGATGCACAGCGTTCAAAACTTCTTAGCTTCATTTTATTTCCTTGCTTTATGCTAATATTGTTCAGCCTTGAAACAGCAGCTCGGACTGTACAAGTCTCCCAGCAGGAACTGGGCCCAAGGTGGGGTCTAAAATACAGACAATGCTCAGAATGCCAAAGCTGTGCCCAGAAATTTGTCCCTCTTGCACTGGGGAATTTTGTCCCACAACTTGTACATCCAGAGAGAAATGCCAGTCTACCAAGGCAGCTGACAATTACATGGTAGCACTTTAAGCCAAGTTTTCTTAGCTCTCAGGTGTAAGCAAAAACAGCATGCACCTCTGAAGGGGAAGGCAGCTCCAACACCTCCTCTCAGAGTAAGCCTGGGATGTTTCCAGGTGCAGAAATCTCTGCTCTCCTGAAGCATGGGAAAGCTGAATTTCAGGTGCACAGTGTGAGCCAGGCCCTGCCCCTGATACATATTCATACCCATCTGAAACAGCAGTGGGAGCCTCATTTATCTGTGCATGCACATATTCGTATCATTTCCACAAGTAAACCGGAAGTAAATGTAAATCAAGTGAGAGTAACGAATCTGCCCCAGAGAAGCAACACCCACAGATGTCTTAAAAAGGCTAATGAATATACTAACACTAGCTGGCTGAATTCTTTGTCATTACATTATGTTTTGCATATTCAAAAATTCAGACTGACATTCAAACTGCTAGCATAGGGAACAACATGCATTAAACCTTTAACGTTCTTCAACTGTCCTGCTTCATTCCCTGAAGAAACAAATAATCACTTCAGAGTCCAGCCATGCTCCTCTGCATTTATCAGTGCAAGGTGAAAACCAGAGAGAAATTTTGTCAGCATAAAAAATGTGTGCTTTTTTTGAACATATTTGCAAAAACCACAGTGTGATATCTACACTTTTGCCTGGTTAGTACAAACTCGTGTTTTCTAATGCTGCAGAAGTGGGCAGGGGCCAGCTCCAGAAACAAATTTTGAAGAGGACTTATTCCCAACTTGTAAGTTCAAGATTGAAGGAAGTTTATGTTTTGTAAAAATGTAACACATATACAGTTAATTTCTCCCCCAGTTCTGTGCATGTCTTTCTACAGCACTCTGATTTTATTTTGGGGAATTTGTGGTCTTTTTCTTCTACAAAGAATTCAAGGAAAAATAATGTCCCTAGTAAGACAACCCTCAAATAGCAGTGGGTTTGAACTTCTTGAAAATTGCTCAACTGGTTTTATTCACTCAGATTAAAACTGTATCATTGTAGAAACTTAGAAATCCATATTTGGCAATGCTCTTCAAGAGCAGTTAAGACACAGGATTATTGTTATTTAACTGGAGTGGAACGTTCTGTATGTATAAAACTTGTGTATATTGCAATGAGTGACTGAAGTGTGGCTGAAGAGTTTACAAGCACAAAAATCAACAAGTACGGCATTCAGCTCTTAAATACCGTGCAAAACAACAAAACAAAACAAAAAACCAGCCCACCCAAGGAGTTCTGGGATGAGGCAGCAGATTTTCATTATGTTTAAAAAAACAAAAACAAAATAAAAACAAACAAACACTTCCCATGAGGCATTTAGAACCCAAGTGCATCTTCTTTATCTCCCCCAAAGATTGGGAAGATTGCAAAGCCATATCTAAGAACCACGAGCTGCAGGCTCAGCTACAGCATTCAAGGCCACAACCTCATTTAAAGCCTTGAAGTCATATATTTTTTTTTAAATGATGCCTACTAGCAACCTTGGCTCCTTGCACAGAGCTGCAAGTGCAGAAATGCACTTAGCTCCTTGCTGGAGCCGTGATCTGCTGGGACAAGCAGGGCTTTTCCTGAGGGCTGATGACATGCTGAAGTGCAGGTCTGGGCCTGGGCCAGGCTCATGATGAACATCTCCAAGCATTTCACAGAATATCTAAACCCACACTCCTCACATACAGACGTTCTGTAGCCATTTGAGAGATGGTTGTATGTGCATCACAGAAATGTCCGGTAATTTCTGCAAATACTTACACCATGCCACTAAAAATAAATCTTTCATCTCGAGGGGCAGTAATACCATCCTTTCAACACTGTGGAAGGTGTTGATTAGCCTCCTCCTCAGCAACCTTGTAAAGCATTACACAGCCTATATATTTTATGTACCAACCCATTTCCACGAGTCTCCTCACAAAATAAAAATTAATCACTTTGCTTAGGAAGTTTACAGAACAAAGCCTTGGCTTTTCACTGTTTGAGAGAAGCCTTAATTTTTACATTTCACATGGGTCTTAAAACTTTTTTGTGCTGCAAATACTTCCTCAAACTCACCACCATGGAAATTTGGACCTGGGGCTGTGTATCGTGAGGTGCACGTGGAATATTTCCTATAATTTGTTAATCATCAGACACTTTCTCATTCCTTCCCTTTCCTGTCTGTTTTCATCACAAAGATGCTCCATGACATATGTTCAAGGACTTTTCCGAAGAACAAAAAGAGAGGAAGGAAGCACAGGTCAAAAAGGGAAATGAAGGGAAAAAGGAGAGGAGAAAAACAGAGTCTGCCAGGAACACAGTGCAAATAGCTGCAATGACACTCCTTTAATAAATAGAACTATATTATGGACCCTTATGACCTTAAAAAACATTAATAATCATTTGGAGCTTATGAAAAATGAATAAAACCAGAGGAGTCTCTGTGTTCTGAAGGTAACTTGGTGCTCCTCTCCCTCATTCTTTTGAGAAGCTTCAGTCAATGATACAAACCAGAAGGGACTTTCAACACTGCCTATCTACTGAGTCCATGAAAGAACATTTCAGTGAGAGTTTTAATTAAAAATCCCTCCACATTTTGGTGTCTAGCTATCCCCCAGTATGCCCCTCCTCTCTGTTCTGCCTCTATACAGTTGAGCAGGTTCTTAAAAGTTAACCCTTCTTGGGGTAACATTTAGCCATCACTTGGCAGTAAATGAATGAACTGCTCTTGGGACAAAGCTAGTAGAAATATGCTGTGATAGCCAGCTGGAACAACTGGCAGAAACTAGAGTATTTTGTACAGTTTTGTCAGCAAGATTTACACCAGTGCTCAGTGGTGCACTCTGTCAAAATACAAACTGCATGCCCTGTGAGAAGATCATTTCGTGTCCTCTCCACAGCCAAGCAGAGCATTCCCTCAGTCACTACCACAGAGCAATTATCCACACTCTGCTTGTGATAAAGCACTCCCAGCAAAGGACTTCTCCATCCATAAACAGAGCAGGATTGTCTTTTGCTGTTGTTTAGCAGCTGGGGCCAATGCCAGGTGACAGAGACAGATCCCCAGACCCCCAAGCAGCACTTTCAGAGCAGCTTAGGAACTGCTGCCACACATGTGGCCAGCCCTGGTCTCTTACAGCACACACAGAGCTGAGGAGCCTGCTGAATATGTCACAGCTGTACCTGGCAAAGCCCTGCTCAACAAAGCAAGCACTTCTTGAAAGCCTGCAATGAATTCAGCCTGCTTCTTCAGGAGTTTGTATCTTACACCTCTTTGGTGATGAGGTATAAAAAGGACAGAAAGTCTGAGACAGACTGGAAAACATGTTGCTTTAAGGCTCACTCTTACATATTGGGAGTTTCCACAGAACTTTCAGAAGAAAAACACCTTAAAATTTGTCCAAATCAGTTGATAATCAGTTTCAGCATATTAAAGGAAGGGTTACTGAACAGACACACTGAATGTGATGGTAGAAACCTTCCTTCTGCAGAAAAACAAGTTTCAAAATTCCCGAGCTGTGAAATCCAAAACTGAACTCTGCTTACCTTAGTGTTCATACAAGATTTTCCACGTTTATACTCTTTGTGACTTGCTCTTTTATCAAGCTTGTTCCACAAAGCTTTGGCCTTCCACGTGGTCACTCTCGATTTCAGTTTGGTGTAAAAGTTTCTATTGTCCAAAGGATCTAATTCAAGTTGGCGAGTGAGAATATTGAAGGCCTGAATGGTGCCCTTGCATGTTGATGCTTGTACAAAGTTTTCAAATACCTGGCCAGCTTGGTTGTATTTTTCATCGTCGTTTTCCCCCATGTTCTGAGAGCAGAATTTGAAGAGAATGAATAAGCTGGAGCTCTTGTGCCAGGGTACAGGTGATCAACAAAAGCAAGTACTTCCACACATGTTATTCCTGGAAAAGACAAACACAGGTCATATTAAAGCAGGTTCTGTGTGAAAAAATTAAAGCCACAAACTGCACGTACAACATGAACAGAAAACCCAGCATACAGTGACTAGACAAGCAGGCACAAAAAGTCAGTAGAGATACCCAAGAATTACAAACATCACATACTCGTGTTGTCATGACTTGTACTCTCACAGACTGCTATAAAACCCCTGCTAACTCAAGCCTACTGCTACAACACCAGGTTCACCGAGAGCTTGAGGATTTCTTTAATTTTTTATTTTTTATTTTTTTTTGTTCAGTCCTAGATAACTGATGAACAAACTCCAAATGTCCAGATTCTTTCCCCAAACAGAATTTATGTAACAGCAAGTGACATCTTGGTCTTAAGAATCCACGGAAACCTGCAGCCAAAAGTCAACACGGTTTGATGGACTTTTTCATGCTGTTGCACAAGTTAGGGCCAAGGGTGCAGCTTACCCAGAGCAATTTAGAATTGGCACAATCACTTGCCACAAGCAAATGCAGAAAACAGGCTAAGCAGAAACATCATCACAAGTTACACCAGAACTGAAGAAACCAGAAAACAAGCAATCACAGAAAGCCCCCCTTTTTCCTAACACTCTTGCCAAAATGAGAAAGGGTTTGGTGCATAGAAAGGAATTTTATCTCCACGTCTCCACATGTTCAATGCTGAAGTTATGTGTTTGGAGTCTTACCTTGTCATGTGCTGATGATATAGAGTAATGATGCTTGGCCTGCTAAGCCCCACTGGCTTTTCCCAGTAACATGATCACTGTCAAACTGTGCCTGCTACTCCAGATAAATACCCTAACATTCTGCAAGAGCAATGCTATTCTAAATTAACACAAGTTTCAAAGAACTAAAATACTTTCATTGCGGCACTCCCTTATCCTTCTTTAACCTTGTTCTCCATCTCTAATGGGGAGCATCTTGGAGTCAGCCAAGGTCCACAGAAAGTATCCAAGTGGCTTTCACATCTTCCAAGAAAATTGTTACAGGTTATGTATAAACTTGTCCTCAGAAGAAGGTTTACCTGGACTCAACTTCAGAAATTTAAGTCATGTATTCTTTTTCTTGTTATTAAAGAATTATCTGCCAGTCCAAGAAACCAAAAACTAAATCAGTGCTTGCCTTACTTCCCACATAATTAGTTATTTTACTTGGAATGTCATCTGTTGGCTGATAGTTTCAGAATAAATTGTTAGAAATGCCTTTGAAGTCATGCTTCTCAGTTTAACACTGTTCACAAACTGTTCATTCTCTGCTTGCATTTCCTTCAAAGAAGAAAAAAGAAAACATAACCAGTGTATTTAAATAAAGAAGAGACCCACTATGTCTATCTTACCATCCTCTAATACAGAAAAATATTACACAACTTATTACAGAGATCCCACTGGGAGATATAAGGAAGCTTTTGGAATACTCACATTCCCTGTCTGTGCTCAAAATAAATAACCTTTGTATGCACATCATCAGTCTGTTGTGGGTTTGTGGGTAAAATAAATTGGCAACGTTGAGAGTTTGTACATTTTCTTAGACCAAATGTCATGATTAAATATCTGGTGCCAAGAATAAGTCAGGAAATTTTTGTTTTCCCCTCTGAATATTTCATTTATAGTAGGTTTCACGCCCTCTTCTGCAGAGCTTTGCGAGGTAAAAGCACAAACGTTTTCCATGCCCCGCCTTTCAGAAGGTCTAACTTTTCAAGCAGCTGAGTGCCATGAACTCCTGTTGACTCCGAGGGAGTTCAGGACATCGTGCACCTTCCCAGGCTGGAGCCCTGGCTGATTAATGAGCAAAGCCCAAGAGCCACATGTCAACAGGAGGGTGACTGCCACCCACACCACTGCTGGCTCTGGGCATGCACAGTGACACAACGGGCTTAGGACAGTCCCAAAAGGACCAACAGATCCAGAAGTCCCACGGGAAAGGCAGGGGACAACCCTGCAACACAACGCAAGATGCTCCGATGAGGCTCGAACAGCTTGATACGCGTGCGCCTCAGGATTTGAGGCCCATTAAAAAGAAGCACTTAAAAATCAAGGCTAAACACTTTACTCAACTTCTATCCTTGCTCAAGATATTTCTATAGCAGGGAAGTGGAAGTATTTGTTTTCCTTTTTCCCCAAAATAACAGGGAGCAGCTTCTGGGGAAGCAGGGCAGGGTCAGCGAAGCGTCCCCCCACGTCGGCCGAGGGAGGGAGCGGCAGGCAGGAGCGAGCTCCATCACCTCACCCCTGCTGGGACCCAGCTCCATCACCTCACCCCTGCTGGGACCTAGCTCCATCACCTCACACCTGCTGGGACCCAGCTCCATCACCTCACACTCACTGGGACCCAGCAGGGCTGTCCAGCAGCGCTCCCTCCCCGCTGCCCCCTCAGCTCCCCCAGACTGCAGTGCCACACAGCACAGCTGTCTCCAGAGGTAACTCCTGGTGCAGCGAGCGTGGTCACAAGCCCTGAACTCAGGGCCTTTCTCTGCTCACAGAGACAAGAGTTCATGGCCTCAGCTGCTGCTGTCCAGCAGGGAAGTGGGGCCAGAGCACAGCTCAGAGAGGAGAGCAGCGCCTGAACCAACCAAAGAAGAAAAGCAGCGTGTGGCAGTGCTGACAACAGCGAGGGCAAGGCAGGACCCAGTGCAGGCCAAGGGAAGGGACAGAAACACCTCCAGCATGGAGTGGAAGAAGGTGCTGCACACACACAGGCCTGGCCTGGCCTTCCTCTGCCTCTCCACTGGGGAGGGCAGGCAGGACACCTTCTCCAGCCTTAAAACCTCCCTTCTCCAGCACCACCAAGCCGAGATGGAAACTCTTTTTTCTGGACACAAAATCTCCTCAGGAACTTCCAACACACTCCCATCTTGCCCACACTGAAAAACTGAGGAGTGGCAGCTCAGCAGAGACATTTGCTCACCAGAGAAGCATTTCTCCTTGCTGTGTCAGAGGTCATAGTCTCCAAAAAAGTAACATTTTGTGGTCAAAAAAGCAGGATGAGACAGGAGACTCTGGTTACTAAGGTTTCTGGATTGCTGGAAACACCACTTATTTTCTCCTTTTTTTTTTTTTTTTTGGCATGAACTGTGTTGACAGATGACAGAGCTGAAGATGGTGCTCTAAGTATATGCAGCTGATGGAAAAGTATGCATTTCTTCCTGAGAAGTCACTGATATTTCACTGCAGTACCGTATATAACTCACTAGAAGCAATACAATACGGATAAGAAGTTCAACAGGGTCATTCTTGCCTATAATTAAAGTTTCCTGTTCTGTAGCTGTCTCAAAGAGCTATGAGGCAATGCATTAACAGCTTACCTGTAGCAGAAAAATTAACAGTGTTTGGCAAAGTACTTGAGTTCTTAGAATATTATCATTTATCCTTTTATTTCCTTCATCATATAGATCACTCTAGGGATGAAATACAGAGCCAAAAATCTTGTCAAGGTGAGTATTGATGCTGCAACTACAAACTAGGTTTTTTGCAATGACTTTTGAACTTCCTTCTAGTAGCACAATCCAAAAATAAAATGCATTGTATTTGAAACTTCACTGATGTGGTACAGTAAAAATTTGGGTCAGTGACAGGAACAGAAGGAGGGAGCCAGAAATAGGCTGGACACACAGTTCTTTCAAGTCAGAACTGAAATGTCCGTGGGTTAGACACAAGAACTGCCATTTTAGGTCCCCTGCATGGTGTACTGAGCACACACAAGAGCTTGGGGCCTTCCACACAGCTCCCCGTGGCACTGCAGGAGCCTCTGGAGGGCACAAAGTGGGGAAGAAGGGCTCTGCTTCACTGGCCCCTCCACTTCAGAAGTTATCCCTGCCTCCCTTTTGCCTCCAGCCAGCCCAGCAGGAATGTCAGATAAGGAAAGCTGAGAAGTGCTGCTCATGCCTGCTGGCTGCCCGAGAAGAAAGTGAAGATCTGGTTACAGCTAAAAGGAAAGCAGTGCAAAAGGGGCAGAGAGAAAACAGAAGTTAAGGCAATGGCACGTGCACACATTTATTTATCCATAGCAAAGCTAATGTCTCCAGTCTTGGCTGATATTTCCTGTCAGCAAAACAAGCTCTGCTACTCCAGATGATCTTGAGAATACTGAAAAAAGCAGCTCCAGTGACAGGGCAATTCCACTGAGGATCTCTAGTGGGATGGATGTAGGGAGCTGGTTCACATCTGCACGTGGCACCTGTGAGCAGCAAGATGAGCAAGAAGCTGGCACACAGGAGTCATTACAGGGAAATAACTTTTTGACAGCAGCACCATACAAATTGCTTGTCAGCAAGGTCTGGAGGTACTAGCCACAAAAATTAAAAGCCTCTTTTGGCTTATTTGTCCCACTGGAATGAGAACAACTCTAATTTAATTCAAACTTGAAGCACTTAAGTTCTTCCTTAGTCCCTTAATGCGCTGCTTCTAATACTTGAGAACATGTTCCTCAGGCAGATCGGAATAGGATTAAATTCCTAGCATTTCAATAGCACTAATCCTGATTCCATTTTCAATACAGCCCTAATTCTGCCATGTTTACCAAGAAAAAATTCTTTTATTAAGACCCCATGTTTGGCATGCAGGATACAATACATTTATTGTTGGCTTAAGGTTACAAACAACAACAGAAACAAGACTGTGATCTGCAATGTTTGGTAATCACAGCAGTCATCGACTCCAGCCCTTCCTCACCATCCGTTCAAAGTACATTTCTGCTGCCTCTCCCCCTGACTGAACTGTCTAACAGATCAATACCATCACAAAAAGTGAAATTTGCAAGTGAAACTGGCCATGTTACAGGACCTCCTGAGTTTTTCTGCTCAGTTTCCACCGTGATGCACTTTGTTTTTGTTGGAGACCATTTTAAATGTAAACATTTCTATCTGGAGGAAACACAGCTTTTTGGTGGTTTGGTTTCTTTGCGTGTTGTCCTAAAAATGACATAAAAGGAAATAAGAATATGGGATTCTGGTAACAAGAGAAGCTCTCGTTTGCTTT